TGTTGAGGATACAGTATCCGAATCTGAATTGAATCTCTGCACCTCCATCCTCACCTGCAAACCTCGGGCCCTAAACCTGTAAACCCCTAAAACCCCTAGAACCCCTAGAACCCCTAAAACACCTAAACCCCTAAAACCCCTAAAACCCCTGAAACCCCTAAAACCCCTAAAACCCCAAAAACCCCAAAAACCCCAAAAACCCCAAAAACCCCTAAAACCCCTAAAGCCCCTAAAACCCCTAGAACCCCTAAAACCCCTAAACCCCTAAACCCCCAAACCTCTAAACCCCTAAACCCCCAAACCCCTAAACTCTAATCACTTCTGGGATCTCAGTGAGGTGCTACCAGCGGCTGCTTGCAGAAAAAGTTCGGCAAGATCTTGGAGCCTGCCCGGTGCGACGCAGAGTGACGCATTTAAACACATACATGGGGGGTTTAGGGTTTAGGGTTCGGGGTTCAGGGTTTCGGGGTTAGGCTTTAGGGTTTAGGGTTTAGTACAAAAATAAGGGGACCCCGCCAAAGAGTAGGATTCCCCTGTAATAAGGACCCCAGTAAGGTGCCCCCTGAATTCGGAACCCCCACATTCCTACTATGACAGACAACGCTCCAGAAAATGGAGAAGCTATTTTGTGAAGGAAGGGTAGGGAGACGAAGCAGTCAACATGAAACTGCGACCGCTGGACACACGTGTCATCTACATGCGGAGCTGATCATCTTCAGTCATTTCCAAATGTGTTTTTCGCTTGTTCGAGATTTGACCGGGCTTGGCATTTTTGGCCGGGACCCCTTGTCTTATTTACAAACTGAAATTTCAACATGTCCTGTTGGGAATTCAGACCTGCTTGCCTGGAGCCCAACACCTGCACAGCCTGAAACCTCAAACTCGTGCTATTCAATTCCGCGTGAACTTTCCGGATTATTCGCTCATTTTGGGTCTGTGTCTAGTTTGGGGTTTGGCCGCTTCATAAGCGGCCATTTGCGGACGTTGTCGGACTTGCCCGGCCGATGCATTTTCTGATCTTCAAATACTGCATACGCGGTAATTTCGGATGTTTCCGTCTTGTTGCTTTGCACATGTTCATCTGGATCCTCTTTCTTTAGAAGCTGAGACCCAAATGCTGGGAACAAAGCCTTAACGCAGACAACACAAAGCCCAAACCCTGATGACCTTATGGTTAAGGTCGAACACAGCACCTTCCCATTTTCCCTCTTTTGTTGGTTTAAGAGGTCGACCGCTTCCAGGGCCAGCCGACCATCTTGACTTTCCAAGGACTCTTACTCACCAATCCTTCGTAGAGCAGAGGGGTTTAGGGTTTAGGGTTTAGGGTTTAGGGTTTAGGGGGTCTCAAAAGCCCTGCTCATGGGCGAATCGGAAGCCCAAGTTCAGACAAGGGCGGGGTGAGTAGCAGCATCTGCTCATGCTGAGCCATGCTGCTCACTGGAAAGTTGTAGCCTGCTAGGATGCACATGTCAACAGTCGAACATAAGTCGTGAATCACAGAATTTCGTCTGAGGGTCCTGAAGGTCTGCGGTTAAAAAATTTTGAAAGACCACCAACCCTAAAGCCTAAACCCTAAACCCAGTTTCAAACCCTCCGAAGCCCAGCACATCTCAATCTCGAGATACAGACTCTAGTAACCTAGGACCAAAAAGGGAACCCTTTTTGCTTTTAAGGTGATTATAAAGGGAACCCCAACCATAAAAAAGGGAAACATGACCGACTGCCCGGTTTTTGGACTGTGCCGCCTCCAGGGGCCGCAGACTCACGGTGGATGCGCATCAGAAACCTGCGGAGGAGCTACGCCCAGAGCTAACAGTGTCACCCTTGGAAAGCCGGAGCAAAAATTAGGGTTTTGAGTTTAGGGTTCAGGGTTTAGGGTTTGGGGTGTAGGGTTTAGGGTTTAGGCGGGGGGTTGGTTTCGGTACTTCTCTGTTGACATTTATGCGGCGCCGTGAGAGTTTCGACCATGCTGCAGTATGCGCTTGTCGCCCTGACCCTCCTTGCCTGGAGGCCGGTAAAATCTTAAACAACAAGTTTAAGGTTTAGGATTTAGGGTGTAGGGTTTGGGGTTTAGGGTTTAGGGTTTAGGGAAGCTGTCTACAAGCTGTTGCTCACAAGCCCTTCAAGACCTAAGAGGCTTCAAGAGGCTTCAAGTGGTTTCCTCGAGTGACAAACCGCGCACTTCTCAGGGCCGGCCCTGAAAACTCGAGAGTCTTTGGGAGATTGGGCCGATCTGAGGGCCGAGGATGCATAGACGCTTTGGGTTTAGGGTTTAGGGTTTAGGGTTTAGGGTGTAGGGTGTAGGGTGTAGGGTTTAGGGTTTAGGGTTTTCTAGCCTTGCGTGAGGGTTTCAGTGGGAGGGGGGGTGGAGGGGAGGGCGTGGAGGGGGGACTGCTGACACGGCGACACGGAACCATATATGCAGTGCCAGAAGCTCGGGCAAGCACTCCATTTTCTGCAAGATCTGCAAGCTTGCTGGGTTCGGCTTGAGGGCCACATTCGGGATCGGGTTGGGAATCTGGGCCGTTTAGGGATGATTGTGGGGTACGTGTGCCAAGTCAAGAACTTCGTCGTAGTTGAAGAAAAATGCCTTCAACACCCCAATTTTTTGGGGCACCTTCCACCTACTGGAACTCAATCTACTGTCTGCATCGGTGGTGCAGTCGCTTTGAGGCATGTGAACTGCGGCTAACATGTCTTCCTAAAGTATCTGACTGTGGAAATCTTGCCTCGAAGCGACGCATGCGAATTGCGAATTCCTTACTTGCGAGCGCCCTTGCCGATTCTAGCTGCCAGGCATAAATCATCCAAGCGTTGCCTACCCCAACCTCCGTCTCCACAACGTAGTCCCGACGTTGGTCTGAAGATGAACACTTCCTGAAGCTCTCAACTGAAAAACCCTGTATCCTCACACTGCATGAGCTGAATAAGAACGGGTGAAACGTCTTGCCGTGAAACAGGTTTGGATCCACAAGCGAAGCTCCTCGCATCCGAGCTGAAGGGTTTCATCCCAACGCAGCATGGTGCCACTTGTCACAAGATTTCCAAATGTTTTGCATTTAAGTTCATATTCTGTTCTGCTATTTGTTCTCTACGAAGTTCAACGACTCGTGCATTTGAGAATTGAGAGTTGCTAAACCCTAAAATTGTAGGGTCCTTAAGGGAGGACCTAGGGAACACGCCTCAGGGAGTAGTGGGCGGTATTAGTTATTGGGGAACCATGGGTTAAAAACCACCCTTGAACCTCCCCCTCGTCCCTCGCCGATGTTACGGTGACGTCGCGTGGCGTGCGGCCGTGCGCGCGGGGGGTGGTTCGTGCAGCTTGCCCGGCGTGGTGCGCATCTTGGCTCGACGTGGGGCTCTTTTGCCCAGTTCTGCACGTTTTTTAGGGTTTAGGGCTTGGGGTTTAGGGTTTAGGGTTTAGGGTTCTCGCCACAGCCCTGTGCATACTCCGCACTTCGTGAAAGTGCGGCAGGCCGAACTCATTCGGCCTCGTGGTCCTTTGGAAGGATTTGCCCAGGAACCGAGAAAACACAAAATCCCCCGCAAAAACCAAGAACAAATCTCAGCCCGTTCTGTAACTAACCTTTAGTGTCCGAAATCGTGCTCCCACAGTCCCGTGCACGTGCTGCTTGCAAAGTGACCTGGCATGTCGCTGCGCCTATGAGTGCTGCATCCCGGGCTGAGGCCGCGGGCAAGAAAGAGACAGAGAGAGAGAAGAAAAACAAAACATTGATGTACCTTGGGACGATGGTGATGCTCAGCGCTACGGTGCGGTGTACAACCGCGAGGCATCGCCACTAAGACCCTCCCTGAACAGTCGAAGCCGATTTGGGTCCCATGGGGCCCTGTTTGCCCGCTCTGGGGCTTGTCAAAGGAGCCTGTCGGGACTCACGACGCCGGAAGACTTGTCTTCATGGGGAGCCCTCTCGGACACTCCAGAATAGTAGGTCCTGGTTATGCCGGCAAGCTTATTTCTTTTGTATATGGGCCCGGCTTACTATTGTTTGCTTAAGAACCCCAAAAGAATAAAAAACAATAATCCCTATATTAGCCATAACAAGGAAGAATACTTTCTATTTTTTCTGGGTTCTTAAGCAATTAGTAGCTTATCAGCCCCTCATTACTATGCTCAGGTAGTTTCCATAGGCATGGCGGCTCGCCGACACTTCCAGTTTCCGCTCTGTGTCTGAAAAAAAACAATGCCACGAGATGACCCTAAACCCTAAACCCTAAACCCTAAACCCTAAACCCTACACCCTAAACCGCACACCCCAAACCAGTGTGGAGGTCTTTGGTGTTCCTCAAGTGCAAACACCGGTGCTGCAGTGCTCGGCTCTTGGGCTGCTCTTTGGGAATATGTGCGGAGTACTCTCGTTCCTAGGTTTAGGGTTTAGGGTTTAGGGTTTAGGGTTTAGGGCCGGAAATTCGTGTCCCCTGCGTTTCGGTCGGTCCACGTCACCAGCACATGCATGGCCCGAACGATGGTTGACGTCCGTACTACCAGCGAACCCACGTCACCAGCGCACACATAGCCAAACGATGATTGCAAGGGAGCTCCAGACTTTCACAAGTTTTGTCTTGCAGGGTCTTTCCAAACAACACTGCCGCCCCGGTAGAAAGCAGAGCAGAGACGCGTGCTGCTGTGTAGTTGCTGCTTTCTCTCAGTCCCTCAAACCTGCATTGCAAAAAAACCTGGGCTTTGCATTGTTTTTTTCAAAATACTATCTGTTGCATGGTGCAGAACAATGCGCCCGAACCCGCACCCTGATTTGCTTGTACGGTGTGGGGCTTTTGCCAGCATTACTTGCTTGGGAGGTCCATATGCTTAGGCCTCACCTCTCCATGACGCCAGCCGATCTCACACAATCGACTAGTACCGTGTTGTGGCTCAAACGCGTACCTCACATGACATGACAGAAAAGCAGTTACATCGAACCGACCACCACAAAGAAGTAAACACACAACTCGGCAGGGCATGGGCCTGTCCTTCGCGTCGTCTACTGGCCCTGGCGAGCACGGCGATCATGGGGAAGTTTCCCCAACAAAAGCCAAGGCCCCAATCCCCCGAAACCCTCGAATCCACAACCCCCGGGCCTACACTCCTTTAACCTCAGACCCCTAGCCTCACAATCTGGAACTTTGAACTATCACACGCTCCGGCTTGTCCACAGACGGCACAAGTCCGAATCCGCGTGTCACCGCAAGCGACATGTTCGGGGAATGCTTGAAACATGAGGTCCACATTCCTACAAGCAACAATAATAATAGTAATAAAAATAACAATTATAACAATAATAATAATAACATTTAATAGTAATAGTAATAGTAATAGTAATAGTAATAGTAATAGTAATAGTAATAGTAATAGTAATAGTAATAGTAATAGCAATAGTAATAATAGTAATAGTAATAGGAATAGTAATAGTAATAGTAATAGTAGTAGTAGTAGTAGTAGTAGTAGTAGTAGTAGTAGTAGTAGTAGTAGTAGTAGTAGTAGTAGTAGTAGTAGTAGTAGTAGTAGTAGTAGTAGTAGTAGTAGTAGTAGTAGTAGTAGTAGTAAGAGTAAGAGTAATCGTAATAGCAATAGCAATAGCAATAACAATAACAATAACAATAACAACAAAAGCAGGAAATTCGGCTCTGAACCCTCAACCCTGAAAAGGGCAGCAAGGGTGGCTAGAAGGGCTTCACAAGGTAACACCAACCCTCCCATTCCAACACTTCCATCTCGCACGTGCTCCGAGTCTATACTCCCCTTAGAACCTTCATAAACCTTAATAAAATAGAATTTAACATATGTCTGTATACATATATATATGTATATTTATATTTATTTATTTTCGATACCCTTTTGGGATTTATATACACAAAAATCAAAAAATAATTCCCAAGGGGGGTATAGGAGTCAATCATCCAAAGCAACCAACGCAACCCCCCCGATCACCGGCGCCAGCTCCCGAGAATGGTGGCAAGTGCTCTAACACAGGGTTTAGGGTTTAGGGTTTAGGGTTTAGGTCCAACGTGGGTTCTGTCTCAGGAGTGTGCGTTGACCCTGCAATGCCAAACCCTGACGCCCCTGGCATGAAACTTCCATCGACGGATTCCCGGCACTCCCGGAAGTTTAGGGTTTAGGGTTTAGGGTTTAGGGTTTAGGGTTTAGGGTTTAGGGTTCCCTCAACAGCCCCAGACAAAAGGCGTAAACTTTTGGCTCCATAAACCCTACAGCCCATTGTACAGCCGTATACAATCCTAATTGCCCCCTGCCTCCCCGATGCCAGTGCCCTCCGATGGTAGCAGGCCCTTCTTGTTCGCGATTGTCTCCTGGGCTTCTTTCATCTTGGGGTTTCCGAAAATAGGGGGTACCCTTTTTGGGGGGTCCCTTTAAAGGGGATCCTATTCTATTTTGGGGATACAAGGGGTACCCCTATCTTGGGAAATACCCATTTTAGGTTGGAGCTGCATGGGGTTTTCAGGGCTTAAGATCCGAGGGCCTGAGTTCAGGGGATTTTCCAGCCCTCCGAATTTGAAAGACTCCCTAAACCGTAAACCCTAAACCCTAAACCCTAAACCCTAAACCCTAAACGCTAAACCCTAAACCCTAAACCCAACCTTGAAGCTTCAGGGTTTGGTTCGGTTGTTTTAGAGGCTTCCTTGGTAGGATTTGCTGCTTAGGGCCGTGCACGTAGGCCGATAGATGATGGCTCCGGGCTGAAGAGTCTGGGGCTTTTGGGGCACGAGGTCCTTGCCGTCAGTCATTCCGGTGTTTGGGGTGTAGGACCGTAGGATTCCTCCAAAATTTGAGAGACTGTGCACCCTCAACAGATTTCGATCTCGTTCCGAAAAACCCTAAATCTTACACGTTCGAAGCCGCCGGAAGTTTTGTTGTTTAAGGTGTGGCTCGGGCCTGTTTGTTTTAAAAGGTGTGGCATTTTTCCAGAGGCAGCACATACTGCAACTAGCAGCATTTCTGCGTTTCCAGAGGCCGCATTTCTGCGCTGTCAGACGCTGCAAATACTGTAAATAACAGCATTTCTGCATTGTCAGAGGCTTCAAATACTGTGAATAGCAGCATTTCTGCATTTTCAGAGGCTGCAAATATAGTAAATAGCAGCATTTCTGCGATTTTAGAGACTGCAAATACGGCAAATAGCAGCATTTCTGACTTTGCAGAGGCTGCAAGTAATTAAAGTAAACATACGGTACATCGCAGCATTGCTGAGTTTTCAGACGCTGCAGAGACTGTAAGAAGCGGCATGTTCTGTGTGAGTTTTCAGAAGCTGCGCATGCTGTAAACGCCAGCACGGGACAAAGCAAGCGGAATGGAAGCTTTGTCGGGGGGTTGGGGGGGGGGGGCACAGCCCCCACCATTTGCAAACACAACGCTCGGACCATGGATTTGGAAAGGATGGTAATGGTGCACGGCTCACAAAAGGAGGGGGGGCTTGGGGAGTCACAACCATGTGCAACAGAATGCTCGCACGATGGGTTTGGAATGGATTCGTACAGTGTTTGAAGGAAGCTTGCACGGCTGAAAATGCCTATTTGCAAACACAATGCCCGCACAATAGGCACGGCCTGATCAGCAAGGGCTTGGGGCTTTGAAGAGGTTTCGATGGATGTGCTTTGAAACAAGCTTTGCACGGCTTCAGAAATGGACCACAGGACGACCAGGGCCAGAGGACCAGGGCACCCGAGCCACACCGTTTAAAGAAAAGAAGGCCGAGCCACAGCTTCAAAAAAGAGAAACCCTTGGCCCCCCTAAACCCTAAACCCTAAACCCTAAACCCTAAACCCTAAACCCTAAACCCTAAACCCTAAACCCTAAACCCTAAACCCTAAACCCTAAACCCTAAACCCTAAACCCTAAACCATCAGATGGAGCGGCATCGGCCCCATGGGCGATAAGGTAATCCGACAAGTGCAGGAAGTTGTACCTGTTGGGATGTTCCCCTTATACTGACAGGGTTTAGGGTTTAGGGTTTAGGGTTTCGGGTTTCGGGTTTGGGATGATCCCCCTTATACTAACAGTCCTGAATAAGGATTCTGTAGGGGGTATCATCCCTATTAAGGATGCAATGTACCTGTTCATCGGCTTTTGGGGAAAAATGGGTGCCGAGGCTTAAATGGCTGCTAGCGGAAGCTTAACATCTTTTGAGCCGGACAAAGGGTTTAGGGTTTAGGGTTTCAGGTTTAAGGTTTAGGGTTCAGGGTTTAGGGTTACACTTGCTGAGGCTTACATTAAGTTGAGAAGGCAGAGAGACACTGGCAGTCGCTTCGGATCCGTTTCAAAACGTCCACAATTCATCGAGCAAAAGCTCGAGACCACAGGAAGCTGACTTCGTCAGCAGTCCAAAAATCAATGTTTTCCAGGTTTCCTGATGGGGTTTTGACAAGAAGGAAGTTCTGCGCATTGTGTGGCATCTGAGCCGAAAACAAGAACAATGATGCAATCAAAACATTGATGCGCTCAGGATCACGTCTTACCCGAACAATGCGACCATGTGCCTCGCAGCGAATCTTCCTCGGTCCACATGCCAGAACAGCACCGACTTCAAGCAGCAACAGTGCCAGAAAATCAGCTTCCTTCACGCATGCATTCGTTGCTGTCTTGCTTTCTGTTCGTTCTTGAACATGAAGACAACACAACAAAATAAACGCAAACCTTGAGAAGCTTCTATGGAAGTATTTCACAGACCGGTTGAAAGCTGCACTCCCAACGCATTTCGGGCAGCGGGGCTTGAGAACGAGGGTGTGCGCGGGGAAACAAGCCAGCAGCACTGGAAGCAGTAGTGCAAAGGCGTATTCCCAGCTTTGTTCTGATCGTTGACCTCAGGCTGTTGAAACGAACATCATGGGCATGGAGCTGATCTGCACGGGAATCCACAACTACCCTGACATGTACTGCTCTTTGCTTGTAACTCGCAGGTGATGCCCAAGCTTGAGACGTTGATGCCGTTCTTGAGCAGTAGCTTGGCAATGCGACGATGATCGTTCTGACCTTTGAAATCGAGGTGGTGTAGCATTCTTGCTCATGGTGCAAGTAAGGTTTGGGAGGAGGACGCTTACGTGGTATTTCAAACCTATAACTTAAAACATTTATGAGCTTGTTTTGTGGACTTCGTAGGCGTTGAGAATGCTTTGGCGGGAGAAGGAAGGCGAGTAGGGGTGGAGGTCAGAGGACAGCATCTGCTTGCTAGGGGTGGGGAGTGGGGGAGGGGGGGCTTTTAACCCAACTCGGCCCGGCACAGGCGATGTGCAGCATGTTGTTGCCAAATTCGTCCTGCACCACCATCTACCCTAAACCCTAAACCCTAAATCCTAAACCCCAAAACCGGAGAATTTGAGCCCCTAATCCTAGCGACCACTGACTGCGAAGTCCACACAGTGGCATCGTCTTCGACACCCCCAAACAGAACAAATCGAGCCACAGGGGTCTTCGTGCAAAGCCCTCAAAACCTGCGGCCCTGGTGGGGTTTAGGGTTTAGGGTTTAGGGCCAGTTTAGGGTTTAGGGTTTAGGGTTTAGGGTTTAGGGTTTAGGGTTTAGGGTTTAGGGTTTAGGGTTTAGGGTGCTATGCGAGACATTGGGTCGTGGTGCCTTCCGGACATTGCGGACTCGAACCCGAATTAAGTTTAGGCTTTGGGGTTTGCTGAGTCACCCTAAACCACAAGATCCTAAACCTAAACCCTAAACCCCTAAACCCCTAAAACCCCTAAAACCCCTAAAACCCCTAAAACCCCTAAGACCCCTACAACCCTAAAAACCCTAAAACCCCTAAACCCCCCAAAAACCCCAAAAACCCCAAAAAACCCAAAAACCCCTTAAACCTCTAAAACCCTAAAACCCTAAAAAACCCTAAAACCCTAAAACCTCTAACCTCCTAAAACCCTAAAACCCTAAAACCCAAAAACCCAAAAACCATAAAACCCTAAAACCTTAAAACCCTAAAACCCTAACACCCTAACACCCTAACACCCTAAAACCCTAAAACCCTAAAACCCTAACACCCTAAAACCCTAAAACCCTAAATTCAACCCCTAAAACCCTAAAACCCTAAAACCCCAAAACCCTAAAACCCTAAAACCCTAAAACCCTAAAACCCCAAAACCCCAAACCTTAAAACCCTAAAACCCTAAAACCCTAAACCTTAAACCCTAGGCTCCTTGGCTTCCAGGATGCCACTTTCTTGCTGGATGATCGCCTGGCAGGTGTTGAACGATCGCGGCTGTTTGCTCATCCGCAGCAAGCTGTGGCTCAGGGGGTTTAGGGTTTAGGGTTTAGGGTTTAGGGTTTAGGGTTTAGGGTTTAGGGTTTAGGGTTTAGGGATTTGTTTGGGATCTGCAATAGGCATAACGTATCAAGATCAAGCAGAGGGAAACCAGAGGTTAGGGTTTAGGGTTTAGGGTTAGGGTTTAGGGTTTAGGAAGCTTGAAGCTTTCTATCTTTGGGTCTCTGGTGCAGGACGCCTGGTAGTCAGAGTAACTGGGGCACCCAGGTTTAGCTTCGGGGTCGAATCTTACCCTTCCATTTCTACCGGTTTTTCTTCTGGTAAGAACCTGAGAAATCGGGAGCCAGGCATGCAGCGATGGCAGCGTCATCTGAACCCGCAACGGCTGGCTTAGGATCCCCCCTAAACCCTAAACCCTAAACCCTAAACCCTAAACCCTAAACCCTAAACCCTAAACCCTAAACCCTAAACCCTAAACCCTAAACCCTAAACCCTAAACCCTAAACCCTAAACCCTAAACCCTAAACCCTAATCCCAAGCATAGGACTTTGGCGCGGTCACGGAACGCTTGGGGTCTTGTAATGGCTCGGCGACGGAAAGCCAAACGCATCCTCTCAACACAAGGCCGATGGCTTCCCCCCAATGCCTTGCATTTTAGGGTTTTTCACGTTAAAAGAACCATTTAGGGTTTTCTAACGTTAACACAACCCATTTAGGGTTTTTGGAGTTTTTTAACATTGAAAAACCTAAGTGTGTATGCTGTCCGGAATGCAGAGGAATCGCATCGGCTGCAGGAAAATCTCTCTGCTGCTTTCGGGTCGAAGGGTGTATATAGGCCGTGTGACGACGTGCACTTCACACGTGGTGTGTGTGGCCCCCGAAGGTGCCCTGGACACGTCCTAAAGCCTGAACCCCTTCAGGCCTCATGACTACCAAACCCATCTGAACCCATCTAAACCAAAAAGCCACAAAAACCACAATACAAGGGCCTTAAAAACAAGAATAGGGTTGTGGGGGTTGTATTGTATAATCATATAGGTACCATAACCCTAGACCCTAAACCATAAACCATAAACCCCCAACCCTAAACCCGAAACCCTAAACGATAGGAGTACGTTACACAGCCCCTGGGGCATGGCCTCGATGGCTTCGTAGCGGTTGTGGCGCACGAAGGAGAAGGCGACCTTTTGTTTCCGCGAACCAGGAGTTCATATGAATCGTAGCGCTGAGATTAGGGTTTAGGGTTTAGGGTTTAGGGTTCAGGGTTGAGGGTTTAGGGTTTAGGGTTTAGGGTTTAGGGTTTAGCTGCTTGGCGGTTTTGGGGCGCAGGGTTACCTTTCCTTGAGGCCCTCGGGTTCCCAGCAATGATTGAGGTGATTCCTTGGGTGCAGGGAGTGCAGTCTTGAGGGTTTAGGGTTTAGGGTTTAGGGTTTAGGGTTTAGGGTTTAGGATTTTTTGGTTGAGGCCGGTATGGGCAGTGTGATAAACGTGGATTCTGCGAATCAGGGTTCAAGGGGTTTTCAGCCGTTAGGTAGTTGAGTCCGGGGTTGAGCTTTGTAGCATTTCTGTATGCTTGCGGCTGGGTGTAGTGTTCCGATGCTCATTCAACTTTCGTGGAAGTTTCAGACTTCACTCACTGACGCAAGTTTCTCCAAACCACTGGCTGTGTGAAAAGCTACCGCACCTTGTTGCATCTGGGTACTTCAGCTTTCTAGCGCTTGGGGCCTCGAGGGACTCTAGGGTTTAGGGTTTAGGGTTTAGGGTTTCGGATGCCCGAGCAGAGCTGTGGACTGCAAGGATGCCCCCGTGGATGTACATGATTTGGGATGTTCCCCGCTGTATACTAAAAGTCCTTAGTGGGGATTACAACGGGGGGGGGGGCACTATGATGCCTATGAAAGAGCTGTTAGAATAAGGGGGGACATCCCAAAGCTATGTTTCCTGTGCATTACCAGTAGGCCCGGACCATGGGCTGTCGTCAATTATGAATGAACTCTCCCTAAACCCTAAACCCTAACTTCTTCCAAACTCAGCTTCGAGAGCATCCCTGGCAGCGAACATCATTGTAGGGTTAGCAGCTGGGGGTCACACCCAAACCCAAAACAATCCAAAAACCCTCGTCGTATCTACTAAGTGGTGCACTTGTGGCTTCCTAAACTACTGTTTGCTTAAGAACCTCAAAAGAAAAATCATAATCATCCCTATAATAACCTTAATAAGGAAGAACATGTTTTCATTTTTCTGGGTTCTTAAGCAATTAGTAGTTGTGGCTTCCTCAATTTGGACCTGAGATCGCACGAATCACAGAGCTCACGCTTCTAGCTTCCCATCCACGTCCCAATCGCTAAACCTCACCCCCAACCTCAAAGCACGGTTTAGGGTTTAGGGTTTAGGGTTTAGGGTTTAGGGTTTGGGGGTACCTCATTGGGGTCCTTGTTATATGGGAATCCGATTTGCGTCCATACTAGGGGTCACTGATTTTCGTAAACTCCCAAATCCCTAAACCCTCAGCCCTAAACCCTAAACCCCCTTAAACCCTAAACCTTAAACCCTAAACCCTAAACCCCCCTTAGGCTTGCGGCATTGTCGTGCTTCTCGAAGTCGGCAAACTCGTCGTCCTCCATGAGCTCGCCCTCCTTGTGCGCCAATGGTTTAGGGTTTAGGGTTTAGGGTTTAGGGTTTAGGGTTTAGGGTTTGGGGAAACGAGCAACGCCTTCAAGGAAACAAGCCAAGGTGGCTTAGGGTTTAGGGTTAAGGGTTTAAGGGTTTAAGGGTTTAATAAGGGTTTGAAGGGCTGAAGGGATTAAGGGTTTAAGGGTGGTTTAAGGGTTTAAGGGTTGCTTCCCTCCTCGTTCGGCACGGCCGCCTTGGGCGGAACCACCAGGTTTGGCCTCGACAGCGTGCCGCAGTGGGAGCCGAAGGCTGCTAAGGCTCTCTTTGAAAGGGGAAGACTTCTCCTGAAGGGTATGGGGTCCTGACGCTTCTGGACTTTGTGCTTGAGGAATGTGGCCGCGGCCGTGCAATCGTCGCTAGCTGTATTTTAGGTCTCAAAGCCGTGCATGCGTGTTTGAGTGCGAGAGAGACAGGAAACAGGCATGCTTCTGAACGTGAGTCGCATAGAGCCCCTCTCAATCTGATATACCCTGGCGAACGAAGCCGAAGAGCTTAAATTTTTGCGCCTTCCTCCCAGAAAGCTTGTCAAGTGCTGGGTTTAGGGTTTAGGGTAATACAGGAAAACGCCAAGTGCACTGCGCCCTTAAGAATGGAAGACGACTTCGGGAGTTTCGGGATGACATTCAGCTAGGAGCTGATGTTTTAGGGTTTAGGGTTTAGGGTTTAGGGTTTAGCGGTTTAGGGTTTAGGGTAGTTGCCACCCACCTGACCTCCAACTACTTGTCCGGGTCTCTGGTTCTCAAGGGACTACTAGAGGCCCCAAAAAAGGGACCACAGGGGCTGTTTGAGGTTTATTTCGGGGCTACTTAGGCATTGAGGTACTATGTAAGGTATATGTAGGGGTTATATGGGGTTTTCCGAAAATCGGGGACCCCAATATAGACCCCAAATAGTAGGATCCCCCTTGCAACAAGGATCCCAACAAGGTACCCCCCCCTAATATCGTCATCCCCCAAATTCAATCGTATCCTGATCCCACGACATGCAGACTTATGGAGCTGAAATCGCTTGCTGTACCCACTGCTCTATCTGTTCTGGCCTGTTCGCGCCCATAACCAGGCTGATGTCTGGGTTCATCATGTCTCCCTGGTACGGCACGATGGCCTGCTGAAGCCGCGCATGTTCTCGACACACACATGCAAAGTGCGCATGCGTCACTGCCTGAGAAGGGAGCACTTTTTGTCGGCACAAGTTGACAGAAATTGATGCCGGCGGCACCCTTAGGTGTGAAATCAGGGTTCAGGGCGGAAAACAGCTGGGCTGGGCAGCGACCGTATGGGTTGAAGCGGTGGCGTGTTTATCAAGGAGCAGCCCTGGGCTTTGCTTAAGCGTAGCAAGCGGCGAGGCTAGTTCGGGTTGTCGTCAGACGCCGTGAAGTTTGCCCCTAAACGCTCTCACAACCCAGGTTTTGCATTCTGGGATCAGGGGTGTTGTAGTGAATGTGCAAGTGCGTTCTGACCAGTCTTGGAATTCGCGAACCCCGGTGTGCACGCGCGCGCGCGCGCGCACGCGAGAGATACGACTGCACACAAGAAGATGTGACTTAACCTGCCCTGACCGCAAATTCCGAAAAAGTCTAAACCCTTGTGCAGAGCCTTCTTCGCGGAGGCAGCATCTGGGTGCACAAGCCTCGCTTAAGAGGGGCAGGCAAATGCTTCATTTTAGCGGTTTCATTGCTGGTTGTGCACCCCAGGGCCAGAGTCCAGGAAAAAGAGACATCAGGCCTCCGGGTAGTTCTTGGGGTAGCTGCGACGCTCCCTGCTACAACCGATGCAGTCCATCATTGAGGCCCTCAGGCCCGGTAGTCCAGGCTTTCACCAGGCTTATTTCGGAATGCTACGAAAGCCTTAGCAGAGGGAACCCTGCCTTGAGGATCACGTCAAGGCAGAAACATACTGACACCAAGAACTATTTGCAGAGAACCAGCTCCAACCCAAGTGTGAAGGACTTTCTACAGATTCTGGGCAACGCGCTGTGAAGCCTGTGGAGTCCCTGAAGCACCGAAGAGCAAAATTCAAGGGAACGCCCTGTCCGACACCATAAGCCGCCCGGTGGCAATCGCACGTAGCACTCGCCCCTCATCTTTTCCTGGAGGGGGTTCTTCGATTTGCTGCAGCGCCACAGGCTCAGGGAAAGAGGGTGCTCAAGGTCCAGCAACGCCCATCTCCACACGTCCACACTGCCGCACTTTCAGAGCGCCATGAAGCCCCTTTGACCTCAGCCCTGACCCGCAAAAACCAAGTTGGGTACACCTGGGATTAAACGACCATTGGGGCCTGTGGAAGTTCTGCAAACTCCTTGTTACCTGATGGGATGTACACTGTTGACTGCGGCTGCATTCAGATCCCTAAACCCTAAACCCTGAACCAAGAACCCTAAACCCTAACCCTAAACCCTAAACCCTAAACCGCGAAGCTGCAAATCTTCGGGCCGCCTGCGTGAAGGCATTCACGTCCATGTTGGTCATGTGAACCTGCCCAGCAGCACAGTCTCAAGAGCCGCAACCGGCAAGGGAACGGACACACCTCTCAACTCACATCAGCTCAGTCAGATCAACTCAGATCAACTCAGATCAACTCAGATCAACTGACAGTAAACTTGAAAACCTAAAGCCAGTGGGGCTGGCATGGTCTGACAGGAGAGGCTGGACAGATTGGACAGGACTTCTGAGAAGATCAGGGATTCAAGTGGGGGGCTTCCGAAATTGGGGATGCCCTATTGGGGTCCTTATTCTAAGTGAATCCCACTAGTTGTGGGTCTATCTTAGGGGTCCCTCATTTTCATAAACCCCCCCCCCCCCCCCCCCCCCCCCCCCCCCGAAACGAACGCCTCATTGTTGTCAGCGTGTTGCACGCCCTTCGACGTCTTGTCAACTGAGCAGCAGGCGCAGGATATGAGGGCGGATGAACTGCGACGACAATGCGAGACTTGCTTCTGGGCCGGGACTGTGGATCCAACTTAGAACTGCAGATTCAGGCCATTTCAGGCCCCTGCCTGGCTGGCCACCGCCCACCTGCAGAGCTCTGGGTAGTGTCGCCTGGCATGCTAAAGCTTCGGCGTCCGAGTCGATGGGCAGTCAATCGGGTCCCCTTTTGGATTCCTCAACTGTTCCCCTTTGCACCATTCAGAAGGCCCTCAACCCAAGTAGAGAGCATCTACACTTGGTGTGGTGCAAGGCCTTGCCAGCCTTCCTTTTAAACCCTTGAGAGTTTCAGCTCTACACTCCCAGAGAGAGCCCGCACCCGCCCGAACTTCCGAAAGCCCTCAGCAACCTTCCCCCTAAACCCTAAACCCTAAACCCTAAACCCTAAACCCTAAACCCTAAACCCTAAACCCTAAACCCTAAACCCTAAACCCTAAACCCCCCAACTTGGCTTCCTTGTTCCCGTCGGGGCCGATGGCCCCCTCTTGGAAAGCGGGCGGCTCGGGCCGCTTCATGTGGCCCAAGAAGGTGCCTCGGATAGGTGAAAAGGGCTAGGGGGTTTAGGGTTTAGGGTTTAGGGTTTAGGGTATTTCAATCAAGCCGCTACTTTCCAACAGACTCCTTTTAGCGCGAATCCTGAGCCTAAAGCCTCGAACCACCGAGCCTCAAAAGGATCCCGGCATTGAGTGGAACACTCGTCACTAGACTGAAAACCCTGATCCGAGCTTTTGATTGGTATTGAGCCCTTGTGTTTCAACACTGAGGGCAACTTTTGTATTGTGTGAAAAGCAAAAGATAACCAATTTACGAGAAGCTCTGCCCTCACCTAGATCAAGCGGGGATTCCTTCCTCAATGCTATCTAAACTCCCGTCTTAAACCCCAAAAGCCCCCCAAAAAGCGCTGCGATCAGGCGCCACCAAGGGTTGCCGAAGCTCCGCGGGCAGTGGCGCTTGGGCCCTGGAGAAGTTTCCGGATTGGGGGCTTTACAATTCGGGGGGTACCTTGTTGGGGGCCATGCGCCTGTTCCCCCAAACCCCAAAGACAACCCACCATAACCTCCGCCTCCGGACATGGCTACAGTTTCCTGCCGTTGGCAGAGTTCTGAACCCCCTTTTCATGGCAAGTCGACCTTTACCCAGAGAGCCCAATACCCCTTAAATTAAGGAATATTCTTAAATCATAATCAGGATCCCTTTGTAATTTAAGCTATATTCCGTAGTTAAGGGCTATTGGGCTCTCTGGGTACTTTAAAGCTGATCTTGCTCCCGGCGAAGCCCCACATGCTGCATCACCTGGAAGGTGTGGAACTGGCGATCTGTGGCCAGATTTATTCAACTACCCAGAGAGCCCAGTAGCCCCCTAATTAAGGAATAGAGCTTAAATTACAAAGGGATCCTTATTATGATTTAAGAAAATATTCCTGAATTAGGGGGTATGGGGCTCTCTGGGTGCCCATGGGCCCCCAGCAGGTGTTGACGACACATGGGCGCAAGGCCCACCGAGTCCTGGACGCCGAACTCAAGGCCACACCGGCCCAGCCCCAATCCCAAGCCTTGGGATGTTCCCCCTCATACTAACAGTCCTTAATAGGGAGTATAAGAGGGAGTATAGTAGGGAGTATAGTAGGGGGTACTACAGTCCCTATCAAGGACTGTTAGTATAAGGGGGAACATCTCAGTAAGCCTCAAACCTATCCGCTGAACCCCTGGCCTGCAGACCCATGCCGCCCAGGCGGTTCGCCAGCTTGCCAGCCAGGGAGTCTAGGAACCTGTGGGGCAGGGGTTTAGGGTTTAGGGTTTAAGGTTTAGGGTTTAGGGTTTGGGGTTTAGGGTTTAGGGTTTCGGGTTTGGGGTTTAGAGTTAGTCTTATGTGGCAGTGTTCGGGGACCACTTTGGTGCAAAGGGCCATCACACGAGCGAAAGCCATCCGAACTCCTGTGCTTCTAGGTGCTCCGAGGTGGCGCAGCATTTTGGGAGCTCATGAGATGAACATTGCTGCGCCATTTTTGGGCCAGTCCCCACGCAACATTATGCAACCAAACGTCCGCTCTGGCCTGCTTTTGAAGTGTGTTGAAATCCTGATCTCTGTCGAAGACGAAGACTCTAAACGCTGAACCCACAGGACTCCATCACTTTCAGGTAAGAACATCTGCTGAGGTTTGCTGTGCACGTGGGATGTGAAAGGGGGCTCGAGGGTCGATTGCGACAGGTCTCTGTTTCTCGAGCGAGGTCTGGACCCTAAACCCTAAACCCTAAACCCTAAACCCTAAACCCTAAACCGCCTAAACCCCCTAAACCCCCTAAACCCTAAACCCTAAACCCTAAAATAGTGTAGCTGCTGTTTCGCTCCCTGTGACATTACGCATGCAAGCCCCTGGAATCATAAACTGCTGGAAGGAGACGCAGCCTTATTGTCCTAGTTTCAACAACACCAAGACAAGCGACAACACAACTAATATAGGGGCCGGAAGAATGACTAACATGATTTCCTTATGGTCCCTTTAGAAGTAGACTAGAAGACCCCCCCAAAACCCTATTCTAGTTCTTAAGGCCCCTGTAGTAGCCCTAAACCCTAACCCCCCCCCCCCCCCCCCCCCCCCCCCAAAAAACCTATTCTAACTATTAAGGGCCCCCTATAGTAGCCCTAAACCCTAAACCCCAACCCCCCCCAAAACCCTATTCTAATTCTTAAGGCCCCTATAGTAGCCCTAAACCCTAAACCCTAAACCCTAAACCCTAAACCCTAAACCCCAAACCCCCCAAAAACCTATTCTAACCATTAAGGGCCCCTATACCAGCCTGTCGTCTGCCAGGAGCTCCTCGACTTTTCGGGTCTCACCCATGGGCACCTGCAAGGGTTTAGGGTTTAGGGTTTAGGGTTTAGGGTTGAGGGTTTAGGGTTTAGGGTTTAGAGTTTAGGGTTTGACGCTCGCAAATAATTTAAGAAGGTGCTGGGTTTGGGTAACTTTGATTTGTTGGATATGGGGATTGGAGGGATTCTGTGTGGCTCTGCACGCCAGCTAGGAGTTTACGCGGGAGCAGCGCTGCTGAACTCATCCATCCTCTTCTGGGGGCTACGCCCAAATTCCTCAAACATAATCTGAAATCCTGAAATTATCCCACGTCCGCAACAAAACGATACAACGACATGCTCAGAACCAGGCTAACTGCGTGGATCGCTCCTGCCGCAGATTCGCCGCTACCCAGATAGTCTGGCTACTTAGCTCTAAATCCCAATCTACACACCTACTGCGCACACGGGCCGGGGCTTGGAAGCTTTGAATCCCTAAACCCTAAACCCTAAACCCTAAACCCTAAACCCTAAACCCTAAACCCTAAACCCTAAACCCTAAACCCTAAACCCTAAACCCCAAACCCCAAACCCTAAACCCTTGCCGGAGGACTTGTGGTAAAGTTTCAGAATGAGGAAAGGGATGCTAACGGGTCCATGGCATTATTCTCCCAGGCCCCAACTTGGAGCTTAGAACCAAGGTTCCCCATTAGGGTTTAGGGTTTAGGGTTTACGGTTTAGGGTTTAGGGCCCCAAGATATTCACGTGCGGTCATTTGTCGTTGAGAGTGATGCCTGTCCCGGTAGAACCATGAAGCTATGCCCTGCATCCATCAGACCCTGCGCACCCGTGTTGCCTGCGGTGCTCCCTAGACCGTAAACCCTAAACCCTAAACCCTAAAACACGCAAATATTGACAGAGGTGCGCCCCTGAATCCCGACGGCGAATTTCCCCAGCGAATATCCCCGAGTCCCAAACATCTGAATCCTTGAGCCCGCCAAGCACCCCTCCAAAGCAAAGAGACTCAGTCTGAGAATACAACATGAAGCTTCATCCGCATGTGTGAGCATCATTTCAGTAGCTTGTTGCACCCCAACCTGGGCTAAGGAGCCATCAAACACCAAATACAGAAACGCCGCACCAAAGTGCAAAAAAAGCAGCCAGAAAACTTTTGCACTCTGACAACGAAGTAAAGGCCTTAAGGCCTACCCTTAAAGCACAATATCCCCCGACAGGCCATAAACTCACACAGCTGCGGTGAGCGTCCTCGAACGGGCTACCCGAGGCACCCGACCGGGCGCTGATCCCTGCAGAGCTTTAGAGGGCATATGGGGGTTTAGGGTTTAGGGTTTAGGGTTTAGGGTTTCCTTTTTGGGGTCCGTATCAAAAGGAAATCGTACAATTTCGGGGTCAAAAATAGGTCCCTTATTTTCGGAATCATATGGCTTTGGGGTTTAGGGTTAAGGGTTTGGGTTAAGGGTTAAGGGTTAAGGGTTAAGGGTTAAGGGTTAAGGGTTAAGGGTTAAGGGTTAAGGGTTAAGGGTTAAGGGTTAAGGGTTAAGGGTTTAGGGTTTAGGGTTTAGGGTTTAGGGTTTAGGGTTTAGGGTTTAGGGTCTTCAGTTAGGGCTTCGTAAGCCTGCGGCTGAAAGCACAACTTCGGTGATCGAAGGCAGACTTGCCGTCTGCACGCCCTGACCGTCGCAAGCCTTTGCCTCTGGGCTCTCTCCACACTTAGGGTTTAGGGTTTAGGGTTTCGGGTTTCGGGTTTGGGGTTTGGGGTCTCGCCAAACCCCTCAAAATAGATGCGCGAACCAACCCTGCACCGCAGCGGCACTGCCGAACCTAAACCATCACGACTGAAGTCCCGAAACCCTCAGCCCACAACCGCACCCTCAAGCAAAGGAGCCCTTTTCAAAACCCACGCACAGAGTGTCCAGAGCCTAAAAGGCCACAGTGAAACTACTGCTGTTCGATCTTACGGTCTCGGGGGGGTTTGAGTCTCCGAGGGTTCACATCGGTATATCTTATATTATATATATATATATATATATATATTCTTTTTTGGTATATATTAAACCCTAAACCC